TAACTACTGAACTTAACGTTCTAAGACTTTTTGTTTCATTGAACTTTCAGGTCAAATACGATTAAAAAACTAAAACAAAGCTTAAGATTTGATTACCTACCCAGATTTCAAGAAGCTCTCATTTAACCAAAAATGTCATCTGGCATGTCCAGGACCTTTGTGGATATGAAATTTCTCTTTTTATTTTTAGCTATAGAATGATATCATCCTGAGAGATTACCATGCAATTTAGAATCCCCTTGCTTAAAGATTGTCTTGCCAGGATTTCACAATGACTAAGTTACTATAATGCTATATTTTAAATACCTGTTCTTTGTTTATAGTTATAGTTACATGAAGTTTTTGATGCTATAAAAAATTAGTGTTTTGAGTAAATGGCCTTCCCTACAAGAGGCAAATAACTCTTGCAAATTTTTGAAAGGTGATCTCATTCACAAACAGTTGCATGACAACATGATTTATGCTGTTGTTAGCTCCTGAGGGGAAGATGGCTAATTTCAACTCAATCATTACTTTGAAATAAACAATCATTTTAGTCCCTACCAGTTTGGGTTTCGATCAAAGAAATCAACGACCACTGCTGTATCTTCTCTGGTAGACAATATTCTTACTGCTTTCGAAAATAAAGAATCAGTGTCTCTAAAGCTCTGCTATCTAAGTAAAGCTTTTGATTGAGATAAAACATCGTATTCTCCTTGATAAACTCTCTTACTATGGTATCTCACATAACTGTTCGCTGCTCAAATCTGGTTTGCATTAAATAAGTTGCTTTTCAATGATGATTAAACTCAGGATCTAGTGCTGAGCACGGCAGGTGGAAGTAAATCTAAATCTGTAAAGCTTCTTGGTTTTCATTTGGATTGTAGGCTTGGTTGGAATGATCATGTATATGGTATTTGTAAGAAAATTTCTAGAGTGTCTTTTTTAATGTGGAAGCTTAGAGATTGTGTGAGAGATAAATATTTAGGGATATCCTATTTTTCTTTTGTTAAATCTCATATTTGTTATGGAATAGTTTTTTGGGGTCACTCTAGTGCTGTACATGAAATTCTCGTTATTCAAAAGAAAATCTTGAGAACTATACGTGTAGTAGTGGATGAAGAAGAACACTGTACACCGTTATTTATCAGACTTAATATCATGACAGCAATAAACATTTATATTTACCAAATACTCATCCATACAAAATTAAATCCTTCAGAGTTCACCCCCAGGGAACATTTCTACACATACAACACCAAGAGGCAAGGAGAAGCTTGATTTACTACAACACAGGTTGGCAAAAACAGGTAACCAACTGTGTTAGGTTTTTTAATAGGCTTCCTCAGAGTGCAAGAGTGATTTCGTTAAAGCTCTTTAAATCAACAGTAAAAAATTGGCTGCTTAAAAATCCTTTTTATTCAATTCACGAATTTGAAAATAAATGTCTAAACTTAATGTAAAGTTTTAAATTTAGTGTAAATAGTTTTAGTTAATTTTAATTACCTATTAAAACACATAGTTGAAACTCAAGCTCAAACTTAGCAAACATATTTATGAACTCATCACATTTATATGAACAAATATTTTATTTTTCTACTAAGCAAAAATTCACAATGCTACAACGTTTTCAATAAATTGTAAAACATACTCCATTATTTCTTAACACCCAAAATCTGAAATAAAATTTGTTTAAAACACACAAAAAAATCTGTTTCAACTTACACAAATAATTTTGTAAAAAACTTGGAAATAGGACGTTACCTTGAAGTAGTCCAGAAAATGTGAAACAAAGATAAAATACAAGAAGTGCAGCCACACAACCCATATTGTGTTTGGGGGTTGGTTTCTCGACTTTATGTACTTCACCCAACTCCCACCAAGTTGAGGAGTAGGTAGGGAGAGAGGACAAGAAGTTTTTTTTTTTTAAATTATATTGTCATACAGGGTGTGTTTTTTTTTTTTTTTTTTTCAAACGTAACCCAAATTACATGTATTGAGAGTCACTGTTAACAGAGAAAACTCTTATTGGCTGCTCTGTTTCCTGTACCTCATTACCGATTTGCTGATAAACATTTTAGCATTGTTGTCTACATGACTTAGTGTGTTATTGGGAATTAATTGTGAATAAGATTCAACATGTTTTTCTCTAAAACACAACACCATTAATAATGCACAGCCATAGAAAAATAATAGTATTGTATTATTGATTTTACAGTATTTTAAAAACATTTGTATTTTGTATTTACATTTGTATTTTATTTGTACTACAGGTGTATTTATGTTGCATTTTTGTACATAAATATAAAATATTTAAAATAATCATTTCAAAATAAATATATAACTTTCCCGTTAGTGTTTATAATGATTTTAATGCCCCTTTCTAGAAATAATATTGAAGACATCAATATAAGCTCACAGACTAAGGAACAGTAGCCCTTTTGCCTCATTTATGTTCAACACTATACTGTTGCATCCATTTCCCTTCTGTCCTTTAATCCAGAGTGTTCAAGGGCGTAATGTATCAAAGACTCAAAGAACTTATTTCTTGAAGTAATCCAATATTTTCTAAAATGCATAGTTTTAAACTACATAATCACCTACAAGTCTGGAGTGTAAATTTAATACACTATTCCAAATTTTGTATATAGATCCAAATTTATATAACCACAAATATATAACATAAAGGGTGTCCTGGAACTCTCTAGAACATTTAATATAAAATTGTTCCTTAGGTTCAGATAAACACTTACAATATAAACATGGTTCTCTAGTAACTACTTGTACCTCTGTCAGTCTGTATACATGTTTTAAATAATTTATTGATTCATTCATTTAAAAAGTATTTTGTAACTTGATATTTTTTAGATAGAAACAAATTTGTTGTAAACGTATATCGCAATTATTAAGACGGAAAATGCACAGTTCAAATCCAAATCAAAACTACTATTGTTTACTAAAATTGAATAATAAATAACCAAGTGGTAATAATTTTCTCAATCACTGTAATTTTTATAATAACACAATACATACCTAAAACATTGTTTACCTACAGTTTTTTTAACTAGTTTTTTTAAATTCAGTTCTTAGAATTGATAAGATTTACTTAACAGTATTGTTTACTTATTTTACCTACGACCGTTTTTAAAACGTTTTTATTAGCTCGCTTTCTTGTCTGGTACAAATTTTGCAATCAATTGTATACTAACTTTCCAATGAGCTAGAGACTTGAAACTTGAAACATAGCTCACAAATGGAAGACAATGCAATATTATACCATTTAATTTTCATATTTCCCTTGGGCTACGCCCCACGGGCTTGTTTTTATTAACTCGCTTTCTTGAAAGTTTTAATACTTCCCAATGAGCTAGAGACTTGAAACTTGGAACATAGCTCACAAATGGATAACAATGCAATATTATATAATTTAATTTTCATATTTCCCTTGGGCTACGCCCCATGAGCTTGTTTTTATTAGCTCACTTTCCTACAAATTTTGATATGAATTTTAAACGAAGTTCCCGATGACCTAGAGGCTTGAAATTTGAAACATAGCTCACAAGTGGATGACAATGCAATATTATAGCATTTAGTTTTCATATTTCCCCTGGGCTACGCCCCACTGGCTTCCAAATTTTTCATGTTTACATTTTGAAAGAATGTAAATATATCAATTAATTAAAGTCAGCTGTAAATACTTAAATTTGACAGTTCAAAAAGCAGAGGTTAAGAGGTACAGGTTCTGCTCCCAAGAGATTCTTTATACAATCAAATATTTCAAAATAAAGATAAACAATCTGATTGCAGATATAAAGGTGTTTGTTTAATAATGTCATTTGTTATTTCTTTAGTATTCTATAAAGTAAACAATAAATTATATAGATTGATATATTTATAGTTGGTAGGTAGGCCATACATTCAATACATAATTATATGAAAAGAAACTCAAATAAACCTTAGATTTCCCACATGCCTCTGTCCTAATCTGATATAGATGCATGAAATAGATTTAACATCCACACACATTAAATACTAAAAAGTAGAAAATAATTTATAAATAAAAAACTTTTTTAAAACAAAACGTTTTTAAATGCACAAAAAAGTAGAAAATAATTTATAAATATGTGGAGAGTATAAATACTTGTAAGATTTAAAACGAAAACGCAGGGTGCATGCAATTGATAATAGGCCTAATACATTAGTTCAATAGGTGAAGGTAATTATAAATCATTTATTGCATGCACCCCACGTTTTTCGTTTTAAATCTTACAAGTATTTATACTCTCCACATATTTATAAATTATTTTCTACTTTTTAGTGCATTTAAAAACGTTTTGTTTTAAAAAAAGTTTTTTATTTATAAATTATTTTAAGTATAGTCGTATCAGTTCAGTTCTTAGAATTGGAAGTTTCATATAACAGCATTGTTTACTTACATAACAGCATAGTTTTACTTAACAACGCGGGCAACGGACCAATGAGGTTCAAGGATTGAGAGAAAAGAAGTAAAACAGTAATTCTTCGAACTTCAACTAATCAGCTGTTTAGAATGTAATGTTAACTGTCAGTGGCAATGAGAGGTTAGAAAAAAATAACCTTCTTAGAAGTTTTGAATAGTGATTACTAGTAATTAAAAAACGGTCGCAGGTAAAGTAGTGTACGTAACTCGCGTAAATAGTCCTTACGCCACACGACACTGTTTTAACGGACTTTCCACGCAAGGATTTAGTCCAGAAAACAGCTGTTTGCCGCCAGTTTAATCAAATGGGTTTTCATTACGTGCTACTGTACTGTAATGAGTTTTTACCGGACACCAAGCAGCTGATTATTGTTCTGTATGTAATTAGAACAAATAATAAATGTATTTGTAAAAGTACAATTTTAACCAACTTTATTCAACACAAATTAAAAACAAAGTGAAGAAGTAAACATTATAACCAGCTGGTAATAGTTATAAAATAAATAATCAATAAGTAAAGATAGACATTTAGGATGTAACACCTCCCCTTCTTAAGTGAGCTTCATAAATTGAGTCTATCCACGGGTTTATGTGTCCTTTTTGAACGTCTCACTGTAATAGCGGGAGTTGGTGCCACTGGAACATCTGATATGTCGTGATCGTTGGCCTCTGGAACATCTGGTATGTTGTGATCGTTGGCCTCTGGAACATCTGGTATGTTGTGATCATTTGTTATGTGGTTTTCGGTTGGTATGTTGTGATCATTTGTTGCGTGGTTTTCGGTTGGTTCCTCTCTGACTCCTCCAAAATGGACTCCTCCAAAATTTGTTGGTATGAATACTTGATTTTGCTCATTCCTTAATGAAAACTCACACAAGTTTCGCCCTGAACGTCTAATTTGGTCTTGATGACGTCTGATTGTGCCACTGCTTGTGGATATTTCATAATTTCTTGGTCCTTCTTTTCTATTGATCTTTCCAAAACCCCATTTGTTGCAGGTCCCATAGAGGCGGTAAGCAACAGGGTCTTGAGCTTTAAATGATTTTTGCCTGTCAGAATATGATTTTGAGTCAAAATTTTGGTTCATTTTTTGTGACAAATCAGGATACAATAAGTCAAGTCTTGATCGAATTTGACGTCCAATAAAGAGATGTGAAGGAGACTGTCCTGTAGTACTATGTGGAGCTCTTCGATAGGCCATTAAATATCTCTGTAATTTCAACTCAACTGAGCCTTCCTCAAAGTGCATGGCTCTGATAGTATCTTTCAAGTCTTGTACATAGCGTTCTACTTGGCCATTAGTAGCAGGATGGTAAGGTGCTGATCTCTTGTGTCTAATTCCGTTAGATTTAAGAAATTTTTCAAACTCTAACGAAACAAATTGCCTTCCATTGTCTGACACTAATATGTCAGGGATTCCAAAAGAGCAAAAGAATTTCCGCAAAGCCTCAATGGTTTTATGTGAATTTATAGTTGTAAGTGTTACAATCTCTGGCCATTTACTGTAGGCATCCACAATTAGGAGAAAATAATGGCCATAAAATGGTCCTGCAAAATCAACATGAACTCTTTGCATAGGCCTTGAAGGATATTCCCAGTGGTGAACTGGTGCTTTGGGTGCTTCATGTTGTACTCGTTGACATCCCAAACAATTTAAGGTCATATTCTCAATGTCTGCATCAATTTTAGGCCACCAAACATACGAACGAGCTAGTCCCTTCATGCGAACTATACCCACATGAGCCTCATGAAGTTCTTTCAAAATTCTTGGACGAAGTTGTTTGGGAATCACCACACGATTCCCTTTTAATAAGCATCCAAGCTGAATTGACCATTCTTGTTCGTTAGAAGACATCGGGTGATGGATTGGCTCCCCTCTGATTAGTGATTGATAAATATCTCTAAGATCTGGATCAGATTGTGTATTTTTTGCTATTTCTTCAGCTGTGACAGGTAATGTATAGATTTGTTCTATTTCATGAACATCGGCTGAGTCAATAACAGCAGCTTCTTCAACATTTTTAGGTAGTCTGGAAAGTGCATCAGCATTAACATTGTCTTTGGTTGATTTATACTTTATGTCAAATGAAAATGCCTGAAGGAATATAGCATAATGTTGCAGTCTTGTTGCGGCCATAAGTGGTATTCCATTTTTCGGTCCAAATATTGATACCAGGGGTTTGTGGTCTGTAACTAGGGTGAAATGACGTCCATAAAGGTATTGGTAAAAGTGTTTAACTCCAAAATAAATTGCCAGGGCTTCTTTTTGTATGACACTATACTGTTTTTGTGTTTGTGATAGTGTTTTGGAAGCAAATGCAACAGGTCTTTCGTTTCCATCCGGAAACACATGAGAAAGAATTGCCGAAATTCCAGATTGACTAGCATCTGTTGCTAGAATGAGTGGTAAGTGTGGGTCAAAATGGCATAGTATATTCTCTGACATCATTTCCTCCTTCACCAATTGAAAATCTCGTTCACATTCTTCAGTCCAATTAAAAGGTACATTAGCTCTTGTGAGATTAATAATAGCTTGCATCTTTTCACTTAAGTTTGGAATAAACTTTCGATAGTAACTTATCAACCCAAGGATTTGTCTAACTTCTTTCACATTACTTGGTCTCTTCAGGTTTCTTATTGCTTCGGTAATATGTTTACTTTTACTTATTCCCTTTGACGAGACATGGTAACCAAGAAAGTCAATCTCTGGTACAAGGAATTGAGATTTAGAAACATTAATGTGTAAATCGTTGTCTTTGAACCGATTTAATACAGCACGGAGTCTTTTCAAATGTTCTTCCTCACTGTGGGCTGTTATTTTGACATCGTCAAAGAAAACATCAACACCATCAATACCTTCTAGAATATTTTCCATTGCTGATTGCCAAATAGCAGGTGCACTTGCAATTCCGAATGGTAGACGATTTACTCGATATAGACCTTTGTGTGTATTGATTGTGAGCAATTCTCTGTATTCTTCTTTCACTGGCATGTGTAGGTAAGCTTCGGATATATCAATCTTTGTAAATTTAGTTGAATTACCCATTCTGGCCAAAATATCATCAATGCGGGGCATGTTGTGTTCTGGTATTACCAAATGGGGATTGAGGGTTACTTTGTAGTCTCCACACAGTCTGATATTCCCATTTGCCTTCATAATCGGTACAACTGGAGTAGCCCAAGAACTCTGATTCACCTTTGTAATTATACCTTCTTTTTCTAGTCTGTCGATTTCTGCACTAACTTTTGGTAACAAAGCATAAGGTAGTGGTCTAGCTTTTTTAAAAACTGGTGTAGTGTCAGGCTTTAAGTTAAGAAGTGCTTCTCCCCCTTTGAAACTTCCAACTCTTGGTTCAAATATGGATTTAAATTCCATTAAAATGTCGTGTACTTTGGGATTTGAGTGTTTAACTCTATTCAAGTCAGCTCCGTGAACGTTATTTATGTCTGACCAATTTATTTTAATCGATCTCAGCCATTCCCTACCAAATATCGTATCTCTATTACCATCGACTATATACAATGGAAGATATTTGGTTTGGTTACCGTAACCAACCTGAACAATGGTTTTACCCAATGGAACAAATTCATTTTTGTTGAAATCTCTTAATATTATGTCTGGATTCATTAAAGGTCTGTGTTTTGGAAAAAACTTGGAAAAGTTACTTTTTGACATCAAAGATACCCCTGCTCCTGTATCTAGTTCAAACGGAATAGTTTTCCCATTTATTTTTATGTTTAACATAATTTTCCTAAATTTATCTTCTGATGTATTCATAGAACAAATGTCAATAACATTAGTTTCCTTATAGAGGGATCTAACAGAATTGTTCATATTTTGTTGTAGAAATATTTCACTTTGATCTTCGAACGAGTCTGTTATTTGTTTTACATTTCTTGAAGTAGTGTTAAATGTAGTCTTATTTTGTCTTTGCAATTTGATAGGTGCATTAGGATTCCTAAAACAAATCTTTGCTAGATGCCCTATTTTTTTACAGAAGTTACATGTTGTATTTTTGTGTTTGCATTCAGATATGTATTCATGTAACTCTCCACAACGGTAACATTGTTTAAGATTGGTACTGTTTTTAGGTCTTTGAAAACTTTTCTGTTGTACAACATTTAAGTTAACCGGCAATTCATTTTTTTCATGATTGAATTTTGATTGGATTGTTATTGAATCGTTTTGAGCCTTTTCAATTACTTGAGCCATGTCTACAGCTTTTTCAAAACTCAAATCACTGTCACTTAGAGTAATTAACCTTGTCTGTATTTTTTCATCCCTTAGCCCGAGTATGAATTGGTTTCTCAGGGCTTTTGACAGAAATGTGCCGAAATTACAATATCTAGACAACTTTCTAAGATCCAATGAAAATTCAGAAACGTTTTCTCCTTCATATTGGTGTCTACAATGAAATTTGAATGTCTCTGATACTTCATTTGGTTTTGGTGTAAAATGTGAATTAAGAGTTTGAACTAATTCAGCATAGGATTTAGTTATAGGTGATACAGGATGCAATATATCCCTAAGTTTACTGTAAGTGTCTGACCCAATACAGTGAAGTAACGTAATTTTCTTTTTATCTTCCGAAATGTTGTTATAAATGAATGATATCTCTAGTCTTTCCATATACATTTCCCATGTTTCATATCTTTCATTAAAGGGTCCAATCAATGCTGAGTTAATCATTTGAATGTTTTGAGAGGTATTTGAATTACTTGTACTCACCTCCATCGTCGCCAAATTGTTCTGTATGTAATTAGAACAAATAATAAATGTATTTGTAAAAGTACAATTTTAACCAACTTTATTCAACACAAATTAAAAACAAAGTGAAGAAGTAAACATTATAACCAGCTGGTAATAGTTATAAAATAAATAATCAATAAGTAAAGATAGACATTTAGGATGTAACAATTATATTTGGCAATGAGTGGTTATAAACAAAAACATAACCTTATAAGTAGTGATAGTCCTTTTAGTCGGTGGGAAATAAGGATTTGTACAGATGTTTTATTCTTAAGTTTAGAGTAGTATGGCGTAATAGTAATAGTATGTATATTACGTTACTAGTCCTTAAAATAAGTATTTACCGGACGAGTGTGGTCGTTCAAGTCCGGCAAACACATTTTGGACGAGTTACATACGAAAGTGATAGTTTATGCCAAACTATACTAAATCTGTACAAATCCTTATATATTACCATCAACTAAAGGACTAAAAATCACTAGTCATAACCTCTCTATGTTTTAGTTTATAATCATTCATTGCCACCCAAATACAGTATAATCAGCCAATAGGTGTCCGGTAAAACTCATTACAGTACAGTAGTACGTAATGAAACCCCATTTGATTAAGCTGGCGGCAAACAGCTGTTTTCTGGACTAAATCCTTGCGTGGGAAGTTCATCAAAATAGTGTAGTGTGGCGTAAAATATTGTACGTCACTCGTCCAAAATGTGTACCGACCACACTTGTCCGGTAATCACCTATTTTAAGGACTAGTAACTAAACTATACTATTACGACATATTTCACACGATCGTTGCGTAAACTTCTATATTAACCCATTATAAGTCAGTCAGCTGGTTTATGTACCCTTCAAGTAAAATTTGGAAGGCACTATGTGTCAGATTGTTGATACTCTTTTATTGTTAGATTTTTTTACTATAAACTTCTGTGAATAATGTAAAATTAAACCAGAAATAAATGTAAAAACCCCCATAATATACATGTATTTATAGAATATTTTTTTAAAGTATTTGGGTAGTTTATTGATGATAAACAAAACCCACTGACTTTGAAATAGCTGATTCAGAAACTTACTCAAAACAATATCAAGTTGTTGATCTGATTCTCCGGAGATTCCCTTCTGTTCTATTGGTGATATTTACAACCTAGATTTCCCATGGGATTTGCAAGATCACATGTTTAAATAAACTTTTGCATTAACATTAAATTAGGTATTATACTGTATTCCTTCATTCACATTACTGTGTTTTAAGCCTTTTTACTATCAATTAAACCAAAGCAAAAAAAATAAATAAATAAAAATTTACAAAATACAAAATTATGTAGGCTATCATAAATAGCCTATAATACTAAGACTTCTCTGGTTTCTTTGTTTTAAATGTATTATTGTTTTAAACTACGTAGCTTGTACTTTTGACTTCACTCACTTTGATATAATTACTAATTTAATTAATATATCAAAGTTTTAGGTTCTGAAAGAAAGAAATTTGACATATTTTTGAATTATAATTAGGCTATCTCAATATTCCATTTACACCTATCCTCGTAACCAACCATGGGAAGGTAAAAATCTGAAATGGTACAAATCGGACTAAAGGGCATTTCTCTACGTGAATTTAAATTTTTAGAAATTTAACCCTATGGGTTAATTGGTTGCCATGATTTGCGAGATATCAATAAAAAGGTAAGCAAAAGAGTGAGTGTCGTAACATATGTTAGTCGACATCTATTTAATTATTTGTAAAACACCTGTAAAGGTTTAAAATGAAGCCCTAAATCAAACAAGCCTGCCTTTACCCTAGGATACATAAATCTGTCAGTAAAGGTTCGTTAAAGTGGTTTGATAGTTTCATGTTAAAGCATGAAAAACAAACCATATTTCAAATAGCTACGATAATCCACCACTGTACAAAAACCATTGAAACATATGGTCATTATGAATAACGTTAAATTAATACTATTTATTAAATCAATTTAACAAACCTGCAATCTAATTAATTTTACTCTCATCGTTCACTAATATCTGCCTTATATGTATCTTGGTTTGTCGGGAAAAAATCTCAAAATCTCACCAGAAAGAATAATAAAGTTGTAAACAAAAAGAACAACAAAGGCAATTTTAACGTTCATAACCAGTAATTTAGTGACCACATAACTTGGCTTAGCAAGTAACAGAGTAATTAAAGAGCACCAACATTACTCAGGCATTATTAAACATTTTCTTTATGCTTGGATTAGGTGAACAAACATAATTTAATGCTTGCTACAGCATCTATTTGGATTTTTTTCATGCAACAGTAAAAAATACACTTAAATGCTAAAACAACTTATGTCAATGCTCTGTAGACTTACAAGTACTTATAGGTTTATGTAAATTATAACACTATTCAAGTAGTCTATCAAGTACGACTGCCTTGAACTTTTGATTCCATTTACCGGTTATGCGAGAGCTTGCAGGCAGAGTAGACTGTCAAGTACTTAGGGATGAAGCTTTAAAAGGCAGTAGGATAAAAAAGCGTTTAAGATTTGATAACTTGTACGTTCGACTGTCAACGGACAATTAAATTCAACTTGATGGAAATTTAGTTTATTTTGATCCATTACTATGTCAATTTTTTATCCAATAATTTGCACATTTTCATCTTCTATTTGGCGTGGTTTCCATTATTTTATGAAGTATTTTCTGCATGGAAGTGATTATTAAAAGTTTTATTTTGCCATACATTACTTGTCGAATCAATAATTAGATCCCTTATTTGTTAAGAAATTAAACTAATACAAAGCTATTCTAATTTCCCTATACTATCAAAAATACTTGTTTTTTCATATTATGTTTCTGTTTGGTTTGAGCAGAGAGTGTTTTATAAGTGTTTAATGTTATCAGTTTTAAAATGAATTTTGAATGAAGTAATGAGAACCAATTATCTTAACATGGTTGCTTACATACAACCATTACCAAAGAGTAAAGTTATAAATGGAGGCAAACACCCACAGACAATAGTGAAACTTACAAACCATACGGTAACTTGCAGATGTATATAATTTGAGACAGCCGGTGGAATATACCTAGTAAAATATTAAATCAATCAACGATTGAACTGATAGCTTCTGATTCGACAGTCGTCACATCCGGGAGAAGGACGTCAAAGTTGTCACGGCGGTTCAGTTCCGACAGTCCTCGGTCTTCAGTCGGTCCGCAGTCCGTCGTCCCGCTCGGACGAGCGTTGGTTCGGGTTGCCGTGCGTGAGTGTTTCGTGCGATAGTGCGAGAACGGATAAACTGATAAAATCGGACGTAATGAGAATCGAATTTGTGGTAGTTTTCTTCATACTTTTTCATATAAAAAATTATAGCGGCGTTTTTAGAAAAAATTCGTAAGTCTAATAATCTATTACATCATCTTAAATATTTATTTATTGCAAGAGTGTAAACAGCTTCAGATATGTCACCCGAAACAGATATAATTCAAAACCCTGAATAGTATGTAATATTACTGAATACAGATAGAAAAATACAAGATGTACAAATCGAATAAGCAATATAAAAAACAATAATGTGTAAGTTCGTTGGAGTAAATACAAGTAAATGCACACACAAAGTAAATGGAAGTTATGATAGTGTAAATTGTTTTGAAAAAATAAAACAAACACAACTTACTGTACAAAATTTGCAATAGATCCAATAAAAACTACTGTGCTTAAAAATAAATGATAGGTGGTAATTAGACATCATTTCTAAACAAATAACAATCATAAAATATATCCATCGCAGGAATATGCAAGGTTGTGTTTTGTTGGCAAGTTTTAAAGTTATTCATAATTTTTAAAGTTTATGCAAATACCTACCACACAATATTTACAATACGAGGACCATTGAAACCCGTAGAACCTAAAATTGGATAGAGACCATTGTGAAAGTTCACCGTCAATGTAAATTCGTATTTTTATTTTTAGCGAATTTCCCATATAGGGAATAAGCTGTTACCGTAGATCTCGTGCTAAGACCTAGACCCAGGACCGATTTACTTTTTTCATTTTGAGGTCCCCAGAGGCCAAAAACACCCTCCATTCAAGCGCGATAACTCGGGTAAAAATGTTCTGATTTTGATGAAATTTGTCACTAACGTGCAAACCTAAATTTATTTGGACTATTTCACGAACCAGCATGATCGGACTATGGGAATGAAGGTTTATGGTTTTATGGGGTAAAATTTGGGTTTTCTGGTCTACGGTTATTTCCTCGAAAAGCTTGGGTTAAAATCATAGATTTTTACAATTTCTTTCCAGACTATTTTGTAGAGCTTAAAAAAATAAATAATTTTGTATATTGAAGCGTTGTTGTATGCCTAACGGTTACGGAGGTAATTAAAACCGTTTAAATTTAAAATGACCATGTTACTCTTATAGAGATTTAATGAACTGTTATAGTTTGCTTGTTTATGGACATTTTTGAATCAAATTTGGCATTTTGTTTATTTCATACTAAGCTATCAACATTTCAATAAAACAAAAACACACCTCAATACCTTCCCTGTAGCAAAAAACCTAGCTACTCATTAAAATTAAATGTTATTTAAATAGGAAATATCTCTGAAAATTTTCAGGGAATATTTTAGTAGAAATCCTACCAGGTAAATGGAAATTAGCTTACTATTGGATAAATACTTTTCCCCTTTATCTGTCCACCTTACTGTTTAGCAATACTCTAGTCAGTAAATTGCATGGTTCTAAATATTTACAACTTACATACAATACATTTTAAAATTATTTTAGAAAGGTTATTCAAGTATTTCAAACTGTATAAAATTAGAGACCAATTATTTAAATTTTGAATTAGTTTCACTTTTTATGGTTCACGCAAATATTGATAGCATAATCTCTGATGTGCTATTTACGAGTTATATTGTAAAGTTAAAACTCGAATTGAAAGAATTTTATTCTGTTTTCAGTTATGTTAATTTTATGCAACTCCATCATTTACCATTATTATAAACCCTACAATGAAGACACGTTGTAAACAGAACATGTAAATTGGTGTACACCGTCGTTGTGTGAATAAATAAACATGACGTGACATTTGGAAACGGCGACGATAACATTTACTCAAGTTTATGAATAAACAAAGTGGAAACATTATAACTGAACATATCATTAGAACAGAGAGAGCTTGAGTTCATTACGGCAAGTCGTATGTTCTTCGTTCACTAAGAAATCCTTTATGGAAATAAATCAAATAATTGAAATAATTGACTTCGGGAAAATAAATAACTGAGAAATTGCATGTAACACGTTTGCTTACTTGTATTCTTGAACGCGTGCTTGTACACACAACCCAAGCAATAATGCATCCTTAAAAAACTGGTTTGTAGTTTTTGGTAAATTTCATTAAAGATCAAGGAAAATCATACCTCTGCAACTATTAAAAGTCATCAACGTATTCGGCAAAAACAAGACGTATTTTAGCTTTTTTAACGACAATATTTGTGATGTAAATTCTCAACTCTATTAACAAATGTGCAAACTAATTCCCAGAAGGTAACTTATTCACTTATTCTTAGTTAAGAAAATTCAAACTGACACCCTCTGCATCGTCGAATCTTCATTATAATAATAACTTTTTTTCCAAAATCGCTTTGTTAACCAGATATCCGCCATTTATTTGTATTTTTTACATAAACATTTTTATTTTTGAATTTTCAACCGATCTTTATAAAACTTGGTATGTAAGTTAAGGTAGAAAATACCAATGTTAGAAAAAATTCATTTTTATTCAAATTAAAATTTAAAATGGTTACGGGACACTCTGTATTGGTAATGGCTATCTGCAAATATATGTTTTGCTATCCCAGTTTCAAGAACTTGAATTATAATCTATTTGACCTACCTATACAAAAAAGGGGAAATGCTGTCTCATCCCTATTGATTTCCCGTATTGTAAGTTTTAAGTTAAAAAATAAACTATTTGCGACACCTTATTACGCTTTTTACCTTAAGCTGGGTTTTCCTAGGAGCGGAATCGGCGAGCGGAGAGAGGAACGCGGAGAACGGAAAAGAGATTAACATGGTGTTCCGCTCCGCTTCTAGTAAAACAGTAACATTAAATTGCCTAAGAGAAGTGGAGTCCCCTCTCCGCGTTCCTCTCTCCGCTCGCCAATTCCGCGCCTAGAAAATCCGGCTTAACAATCCAAAACCAAAATTACATGTCCATGCTTATGGAACAATACTTAGGTTATGTTGGAAGAGTAGTTATTTGTCCTAGTACAATGGAAATAACGAAACTTAACACAGATAACTAAGAGCACAGTGTCATTCTATTATGACGCTGGCAAGCAGTTGTCATTGCGGTGACAGTCCATGATGTGTAGAAGCAAAGATAAATATAATGTAGTAAATAAAGTGTTGTTATGTTATCACCAAAGGGTCGCGACGCCTGCAAGGTATGCAAAACCCTCAGCACACGGACGTAGCTGAATCACCCCTTAGCGCCGTTACACTTTTACTCTTCGTGGACGTTAGCATCCTGCATGTAGGCGCGATGGCCTATATCATTGACTATATATATCAAACATTGTCATGAACTACATTAAATGACATAGTGCCTACACATCAGATATTTAAATTTGAAACCATTAACGACTGTAACAATCGAAATACAATCTTATCCACAGTGACGTCCTCAAGCAAAACTCAAGCGAACAACTTTTACAACTTATTCACGATACGATCTTCCATTATTTACATACAAACAACCTTACGACCGGATGGTTACATACAAACCCACATAGTTAGGCTGCATGGCTCCCGCCAAGTCGTGATCTGTTCGCGGAAATGGCGGCAAACACCTGGCAATTTCCACGGCGGCGCCGCGGGGCGCTTGTTGGGTGAGGAGGGGGAGTCAAATTAAGTTTACAACTAGCCTCCGTTGGCGGACAAGCTCGTTACAATAACTATAATGTTGACGGGTCCATTACTACACGGAGGTGGCCCCGGCGGACTTTGGTGTGTCTCAGGGTTCACAGCGTAGAATAGAATGTTAAATCCCACCTTCGCATATCAGGACAACAAGTTCTGGCCAGTATCCGTTTTACAAAACACATTACTTCAGGCTAGACTTAGAAGGTCAAGGCATTTACCATTTGGATAAATATAATATTGGTGATTTGCGTGATTAGAACCCGGGACATCGGGTACAGAAGACCTCACTCTATCAGTAGACCAACTCGATCTCCAATAGAATGACTTAAATTCTTATTGGCATTACTACTTAGACGATCTAAATTAATAATTTACAACGTTTATGATATCGTTTCTCTAATATTTTAAAATACTATTGATAAGGCACATCAATAAAGTTTATAACAGCTGATGTTAGTGTTACTAATTTATTGTGAGTGAAGATTGTGATTTTATTTGAAGAAGATTTACCTAAAAATTTTCATTTAAATTTAATAATTAGTAGTTTTGAAACTTCAAGATTGAAATTCAAAATGTAAAAAATTAAAGAAAAGATGTAAATAATGAAGATGAATCATGTATGTGAAAATGTGAAATTTAGTAAGTTTTTCTCAAATCAATATTTAAAATTACCCAAAACCAAAATTTACGGTTTGCACTACTTACTAGATTTTAAATACACATACTGTACGTTTCTATAAAGGTCATAAAGGTTGAATTTTGTTTTTAAAAGTGTTGGGGGATGTGCTACTATTTTATACAACAGATGTAAAAAATAATAAAGATCAAAATGTTTCTATTTAGTTTCCTCATCCCGTTGCAAAGCATTTGCAATTGGTTTCAACTCTGAGCCAATATTCAAATGGAAATAACACAATCAATAATTTATACGCCGATTTTTCCATATTACGATCACGATATTCTTAATTTGGCTCTATCAAATTATGTTTACACTCATGCTAATATAGAATACAACCTTTTGCAAATAAGGGAACAATCTTTGAAATTTTATTACAAAAACATAAACTACTTTAATTTACTCGTCCGAATCTTACTACTCAGAAGACCGAGAATTAAATTCCTTGCAAGGATGTTGTGAAAATAATTTCCAGTGAATTTGATACCTTAATATTACAGAGTCTAACCAAAACAGCAGATAATTACGCATGCCCTTCCTATAATCTTTGGTTTTCAGTAAGCCCTGTAGAAGCTGTTAGCTGTTGTAGGCCTTGGTGTTTGTGTTTTGGCCGCCCTCACGTCGCCCCCACCTTACCACGGGGTTACCTGCTTTTAACTAATTCAATAAAAGTGTGGGGCCCACGGAAACCCACACTCGGCCCACTGCTGACCGCTCACCACTCACACTCACACTCACACTCACACTCACACTCACACTCACAACACACTTTCTAGAAAGACTA